AAAACATATAAGGAAAACGCTCGAAAGCACTCCAGGAAGTTTTAGGAGTGACGGCGGTTTTGAAATGCCAGAGATTTGCAACGTTTAGAGCAAATTTTGTGTAGTTAGTGTGTAGTGTAGTCAATAGTTTTGTTGTGTGCGTCAGAACAATGAGGCGACTGCTGAATGTTACAGGTGTTACAGCAGTGATACATCTCCTGTTGTCAGGCCTGCAGGTATCAGGCTTTTGATGTTCTCCTTTATCTCACAGTGGACAGAAATGATTTTTTGGAGTAGCACAAATAATTTGTGTGGCATCAAATTTGATGCAGAACAGCTGGTTGTTCTGTAAATATTTTGAAATGTTTATTTAAAAAACGCCTTGGCAGCATTTTTAGGTAAACAGCTGCAAAAAACTTTGTTGTTTGCAAAACTCAGTAACTTTTTAAAGAAGTAACTATATAATTAATTACCCAACATTGGTCTTTGTATACTTTATTTTGCAGACAGAGAGTTACAGGACTCTCTCCCAGACCAAAGACTCATAGTCCGCTTTATTAAAAAAAAAAAAAAGAAAGAAAGTTTTGTTTTCAAAATTGGAGTTCAAGTTATTTTTACTTCCAATAGTGTTAACATACTACACAGGTCATGAACAAGATGTTTTTACATTTTCATTGTAAGTGGGATAAAGCAGTTAAAAGGAGTCTAACATAAATGTAAATGCTGTAATTTGATTATTTTAATAAACCATGTCACTTGGATGGATTCGATGCTGGCGTGACCACAGTGCACATGTCTACTGTTGCTCACAGTGGTCCAAGGGATCGCTCAGGGAGTTTGTGCGTTCGCTCAGACACATGAAAAATTAGAGAGAACATTGCATATAAGGCACCTTATATGTCTGTTACTATATATATAAGGCACCTCTAACAAATCCTTATAATACAAGCACATGCACCACAGTCACAATATCCCATTTTATACTCTCTTATTAAAAAGATGCACCAATTACTACTCATGTTTTACGTGGCAATTTTGACCAAATTGACTAACAGTAAATTTTCCAGTATACTGTCGTTACTATGTAGATCAAAAGGTTTAATTTGAACTCAGCTTTAGATGTGCCATGTCTACAGTGATTGAAATACTTAAAAAAGTAGTTACAGTATAGTAGTATTTTTTCCAGGGGGGAAACAGTGGTGGGATCCATATGAAACAACTCACAAAAGGCAATTCGTCTACCAGCCAAGTTCAGCTGCAGATATTTTCCTGTAAGTAAAATCATGGACTTATGAGGCTCTAAATAAGCATACACATTATGCATGGTTGTGTGTGTAATTATGTGTCTGTGCTGGTACTTATGTAGGAAGCCCCTGTCAACGTCATTGATAGACTCATATTCACAGTCTGGACCTTTTGGTTCAAGTATATACAGTAAGGACTTTAGCTGGAAGCCTGCCTGTAAACCTGAATGCATTTGTACAGGAACAGCCTCAGGGCAGAGGAGAAATAACCCGCATCCCAGCAAGGTTGGCACCAACCCTCGGTTTTTACATTTATAGTGAAATGGCATGCTTGACCTTTCACAGTGTATTGTAACCTTTAAATTAAGCTATTTTCCCCCAAGTCTTTCATGATGTGGAGGCTGCCAAGGGATGTTGCAAGAAACTCTGACCATATTGCATTCCCTTTGAAATGCCTCCCTTCTGAGGGTGAGATCCGTAAGGCCCTAACCGCACAGTACCTCTCCACTTACAAATGTGACTTCATGGGTACACCTCAAGGTACACAATTTTCAGTCAATCTCATGTACGAGAACTCGTCAGAATGGCTGACTACATCTGTGCACACACATCCAGATGTCATAACATTTCATGACATTTCTCTCTACAGTTCATTTTCCATTTTCCATTCATTTTCATTTTGTCATGGTATTTTCTTCTTGACAGAGTACAATGACACTGAAAAAGCAGCCAGATGGTTTGCACCTATGCACAACAGGCACCGCATATCACTCTCTACTGACACTGTGATGAGGGCCAATTATCGCCAGCCAAACCAAAAATCTGAACTCATGGTCAGTGTTTCTCACTGCTGCAAAACAGATCCAAATGTGACCTGCCCCGGTATAGGTACTGTCTACTCAAAAACTATAGAAGATGCATGTAAACAGCAGCTCTGGTGATTTGCAGTGTATTAGATGATGATTGTCTATGTTACAGT